CTGGAGAACACTCACCCTGGTCTCGGGGCTGCCACACTCACCCCAAGATGACTCTCGGGCCCGTCCTGAACTTGCCCCCACGGTTGGCCGAGAAAGGCCTCGCTTTTGTTATCATTTATCTGCACCGCTCTAGGGCATCCGTCTTGAGTCCCTGGAAAACAGAAACATGCTATTTACAGCTGTTCCGGTTTTAACGCTGGTATTTTCATTTACAGAATACAGTGCTAAGCAGCTTCCGAGGCTAAAGCTTTCTTGGGTGCTTCGCCTTTTCTTTTTAATTTTTATTTTTATTTGCACATCTGCAGTACAGGACGATCACATTCCTCTCAGGCAGTCGGTGCATGCGTGTAACACATCTTTTTGTTTGGTAGTGGGGATCGAACTCGGGTCCTTCTGCTTGCGAGGCAGATGGCAGAACCACTGAGCTAAATCCCCAGCGCAATGTAATGCATCCTAATCCCTTTACATCCCCTTCCCCTCCCTCGCCCTTCCCAAAGCCCCTCTCTTGGTCCTCTTCCCATCTGTAAAAGATCTATCTCCGTTTCCCGTTATCTATTATTTTGTGCTTTATTTTTACATTTTGGGTTCTCATAAAAGAGAAACCATGTGATATCTAAGCTCTGACTCATTTCACTTAACGAGGCAGTCTCAGTTTGTCTTTTAAGTGTGTTGTTTGTTTGTTTTGGTTTTGGTTTTTGGTACTGGAGATCAAACTCAGGACCTTGCCCTTGAGAGGCAGGAGGGGGCACCACTGAGATAAATCCCTGGCCCATCTAAATGCATTTTAAGCCAGATGTGGTGGTGCACACCTGTCATCCCAGAACTCAGAAGGCTGAGACAGGAGGATCGCCACGAGTTCAAGGCCAGCCTGGGCTACATAGTGAGACCCTGCCTCAAATAAGCACCTCCCCCGCCCCCCCCCAAAAAAAATGCATTTTAAGGAAAGGCTACTTTTGGTCCTGGAGACCAGCTCCCCACTCTGCTCCTCAGTGCTGTTGCCCTACACCCTTTTTATTTATTTATTTATTCATTCATTCATTCATTCATTTGTACCGGGGATCAAACTCGGGACCTTGCCCTTGCAAGCCTACACCCTTTCTAACCCTCCTCTCTCCAGGCCCTGTCTCCGAGGCTCCCTCCAGGGCCAAGTCCATAAGGTCTCCATTTCTACTGCTCAGTGGCCTGGGTCTGTCCTCCCTGTCCTGGGAGCCCTGCCGGTGCTCTGGCGCCCAGGGTGAGGACTACCAGGGACCTGGCTCCTGGCTCCTCTGTGACATTGGGAAAGTGTGGGGGCACTGGAGATGCCCATGTCCACTCTGGGCTCAGCCCTGTCACCTATGGTGCAGGCACAGTCAGTGGGTCGCTGTCACAGGACATGGGGGACATTGCTTGGCGACCTGTAGCGTGCAGTATAGATGTAAGAAGGAAGTCTCTGCAGTGGGGAGATTCATACAGAGGAGCTTTTGTTTCTGCAAAATGACAAGGTCTTGCTCTGTAGCCCAGGCTGGCCTCGAACTCACAGTGATCCTCCTGCCTCAGCCTCCTGAGAGCTAGGAGACAGGCATGGGTCACAATGCCCTGCTTATAAGAAAAAAAAAATTTTAGGCACACACCATATATTTTGACCTCCCCTTGTGTACTTTACCTCATTGAAGAAACAAGCGATAAAGAAGTCATTTTTTGGACCAGGGATTTAGCTCAGTGGTACTGCTGCCTGCCTCAAAAGCGCAAGGTCCCAAGTTTGATCCCCAGTACCAAAAAAAAAAGTCATTTTTTAATAACTTTATTATAAACACACACACATACAAAAATTAAAACCCTTCAAAGAAGAACAATGCAAGGGGGGAAAAAACTACGATAATATTCAAATACAGTAGAACTTAACCAAAACAAAACTGAAAAGCACTTAAATATTTTTCCATATAACTTTAAAAAGCATCTCAAACACCAACAAGACACCAGAGGATCTTATTTGTTTCAGAAAGATCCCCAAAACCAACATTGAACAAATAGTGGTCTGGAAAAAATACTCCAGTTAGCAGACTCCACGTAAGCCAAGCTACTCCCTAATTTAAATTTCAATACAGTCAGATGACGCGGAATGGAAATACAATTCAAGAACTATGTTGTTAGGCCATTTCATCCACATGTATCCTTAATTACACTATCAGTTTCTCACACTAGAGAAACTACTCAGTATTTACACGTGTGTCCTATTTATTTCACTTAAGAGTATCGCCTCAATGTGCATCCATTTAGCTATAAATGTCTGCAGTTTCTCATTCTTTATGGCTGAGTAGTACTCCATTTAAAAAAAAAATCATCTTTATCCAGTTAATGGGCACTTGGGCTGTTTCCAAGCTTTAGCTATCATGAACTGTGCTGCTATAAACATGGGTGCACATATATCACTGTGGTATGATTCTTTTAATTCTTTTGGAAAGATACCCAGCAGGGGAATAGCTGGGTTAAATGGGACCTCTAGCCCTAGTTCTTTGAGGTATCCCCATACTGACTTCCACAGTGGTTGCACCCGTCTGCACTCCCACCAACAATGGAGAAGGGTTCCTTTCTCCCCACACCCCCGTCAGCATTTGTTATTGGTTGATTTCTTGATAGCAGCCATTCTTTCTGGGGTGAGGTGAAATCTCAGTGTTGTTTTCATCTGCATCTCTCGAAAGACCAGTGATGTTGAACATTTTTTCATATATTTATTTGCAGCTTTTACTTCATCTGAGAAATGTCTGTTCACTTCAGATGCCCATTTTTGAATTAGGTCTTTGAATTTGAGGGGTCTGATTCTCTTCAGTTCTTTATATATTGTAGATATTAGTCCTTTGTCTGAGGTACAGTTGCTGAAAATTATTTCCCACACTGTAGGTTGTCTGTTAGCTCTGTTGGTGGTTTCTCGTACAGTGCAGAAGCTTTTTAATAAGATGAGATCTCAGTTGTTGATCCTTTGTGCAAGTTCCTGTGCCACTGAGATTTTGTTCTTTTTTTCTTTTCCTATGCCAATATCTTCAAGAGTTCTACCTAACTTATCTTCCAGAAAATTTAGTGTTTCTGTCTTAATATTTAAATCTTTAATCCACTTTGATCTTAATTTAGTGCATGGTGATAGGTATGGGTCTAGTTTTAATCTTTGGCAGGCTGAAATCCAGTTTTTCTAACACCATTTATTAAAGAGGCTAACTTTCTTCCAGTGAGGCTGGTTGGCTCCTTTGTCAAAGATGAGGTGGCTGAGCATATCTGTAGTCATTTCTGCATCTTCTAATCTATTCCACTGATCCTCAGGTCTGTTTCTTTGCCAGTACCATGCTATTTTTTATCACAGTAGCTTTGTAAAAAAAAAAAAGTCATTTCTTAAAAGTTATTTATCTGGGCCACCTTGTAGCTAGAACATTGCAGGACAATGTCCCTCTGTCTCCTCTGCTCCTGCAGGCTGCAGGCTCTCTGAGCCAGGGATGGTACCTGCTGTAATCAGGCTGGCAACCTGTACTTTAATGAAAAAAGCCATGCACGGAGGGATCCTAGAGGGATCCTGCTGTCTCGGTGGACCACAGAGGCACAAATGTCCCAGGGGAAGTCCGGGTCCATGCCACACCCTGGAGCAGCCTGTGTCTGGGCTTACTTTGAAAGTACATGGTTACTGGATGGGGAGCAGGGGGTCACCTGTGGTTTCAGGACAAGCCCTGAACCTGACACATCTTGCAAATGTAATCTGCAAGGCCACATCTTCCAGGAAGCCCTTCTGCCACCCTCCAATTCACAACCCTTGTGTGCTTTAAATACTACCAAGAAAGTGTTATATGGAAATAAAACACCTTTGGGGAAGGGATTTAGCTCAGTGGTGCCCCACCTGCTTTGTAATCAGAAGGTCTTGAGTTCGATCCTGGGTACCTTAAAAAAATAAATAAATAAAAAGAAAGAAAGAAAGTGTCTCTTCACCCTTGAGCCTTAAAATAGTTTACTTATGTAGCCTGGAGAGGGGCACACACCTGTAATCCCAGCACTTGGGAGGCTGAGACAGTAGGGTCGCTGCAAGTTCAAAGCCAGCCTTGGCTACATAGCCAGATCCTGTCTCAAAAAACCAATTAGAAATAAGTTGGCTTTTGCAAATCTTACTTTGTCCAGGTGAAGGCAAAGGTTCCTCCCCCGCCAGGGGCAAGAAGGGAGCCCTGGGAAGGAAGAATCCACAGAGACCAAGGTCTCGGTGTACAAGGCTTGGGGATCGCATGCCCTGGACTCGAGAATGCTGAAAGTAATTGAAAGAAAGATGCGCTGAATGATGTTGCTTAAGGCGCTTAGCAAGAGATTTCTGGCTGAACACAAGAGTCATTAATATGTCATTTAATAAGGTCATAAACATGCCAAAGGCCCAGGGACTGGTTCTGCCCTGAGAGGGATAGAGGATGGAGAAGCCAGGTGTGGTGCTGCTGCCTGGGAAGCTGAGGCAGAAGGGTCTCAAGTTCATAGCCAGCCTGGGAAATCTGGGGACTCAGTGAGACCCTGTCCCAAAATGAAAGTAATAAAGGCCTGGGCGTGTGGCTCAGTGTGAAAGGCCTTGGGGTCAATCTCCAGGGTCACAAAAAAAAGGAGAAAGAAGGAAGGGGCAGGGAGAAGAGAGGACTGGAAGAGGGAACGTCTAAAGGAAGGAGAGAGGGCCAGGGATTTAGCTCAGTGGTTCCGCCGCCTGCTTCACAAGCGCAAGGACCTGAGTTCGATCCCCGGTACCAAAAAATAAAATAAAATAAAATAAAGGGCGGAGAGAAGGAAGTGAGAGAAGACAGAACTTAGATCCCGGACAGGAAGGCAGAGGTACCCACGCCGGGCACTAGACCCCAGACCGCCCGGCATGCTCCGCCCCGGGGAAAAAAACCAAACCGGTAACCTCTACCCGGCTGCCTCTCATTGGCCCTGGGCTGAGCGACGTCCACCGTGACCAATGGGCCGCGGCCACGCGCGGCCACGGTTTCCGGCCCGCCCCTTGCGCGCGCGCAGCCCCGCCCATCGGCGTGGAGAGCGGCGGAGGCGGGAAGGGCGTGCGGACGGCGGCTCGGCATGGCGCGCGTGGGGCTCGGTAGGCGCGGGGCGCGCGTGGGGCTGGCGGGCGCGGTGCTGCGGGGGCGCCGGGCGGAGCTGTGGGGGCGCCGGGCGGAGCTGTGGGCCGGACCCTCGAGCCAGGCCGAACGGGGACCGGTCCCGGCCTCCCCTTCACCCGAGTGCGTGGGAACCCCGGCGCCCCTGTCTGTGCGCTTCCACTTCCAGAGGCTGAGCTCGTACGTCGGATGGGGTAGCGCACGCCTGTAATCCCAGCACTCTGGGAGGCTGAGGCAGGAGGGTCTCAGGTTCCAGCCCAGCCTGAGCAACTTGGCAATTTAGCGAGACCCTGTCTCATCTCAGAACACTAAAGGGCTGCCCGGTGAGAAGGCCCTGGGTTCAAGCCCCAGGACCTCCGAAACAAACCGCCCCGAAGGTCGGTGTCGGTCCCGTCCCTGCCCGGGTCACGGCCCAGGCGCTCGGATGCTGTCTCGCAGCTCGGGCTCCAGGCCATCTGCTGTCCCGCTCCTGCCGCCCGCCCGGAGGTCCCTTTCCCCGAGGTGCTGGTTCCCGCGTCGAAGGGCCCTGTGAATTTTAGCGGCAGGACGTGTCGGTCAGCGCTGGCCTAGTTTGTCATCCTCACGGAGCCCAGGAGTAGGGTGGGAGGGGCCCTTCTTCTGGGCGGCTTTTAGCTGTCAGAATTCATACATCTCTGACCAAAGTACTTTTGATTTCTTTCTAACCCTGCTAAGTTGCTTTTCCTTTCAAGTTTAGATCTAAAGCACGTCTGGAGGATTTCCTTTGGTGGCTGTGTATAAGGAGGGAGGCTGTGGAGAGAACTAGGCAGAATGTAAAGGCAAAAAAGTCCGTCTCCTGACCAGGCGTGGTGTGCCATGAGCATAATCCCAGCACTCAGGAAGCTGAGGCAAGAGGATCATTGTGAGTTGTAGGCTAGCCCAGGCTACATAGTTCGAGATCAGTTTGAGCTCCAAAGGGAGACCCTGTCTCAGACTGCCCCCCGCCACCAAAAAAAGCCCATTACTGTTACCAGAGAAAACAATGACCAAGGTGTGTGTGACACTGTCAGTAGTCCATACCCTCCCGACGTGCAAAATTATGGTCCATTCCCGTGTGTCAGCCTGAAGAGTTGGCGGGGTGCCTCACTGTGTAGCCTCGAACTGCAGCGATCCTCCTGCCTCAGCCTCCCAGGTGCTGGGACAGTAGGTGTGCACCACCCCACCCCCAGCTCACCATATGGAGCTCTTATGGGACTTAACGAATGCAAAAATGTTTAGGGCAGGGCTGGTAGGAATCGTGTTGTGTTGTCTAAAGGGTAATGACAGCTCTCTCACATGTTAGCCGCACTCCCCTTAGCGAACTTCTTACGAAACGCATCTGTTGGGGGAAGCATAAGAATTGTCCGGATTGAACAGTCAGGTCAGTAGTGGAAAACGGAAAAGACCCAGACCCTGTATGTAGCACCTTAGCAACCCGGCTCCATCGTCCAGAACAGGTAGCCAGGAGGAAATAACCCGTCATCACTTATGTGGGAAATGCTTGCAGCTTTTTAGCTTTCCCATTTTGGACATTTTCACAAGAGACTCAGTGTCCTGAGCAAGTATCAGTTCATAGCATGTTGACAAAAAGATAAACTCAAAAGTAGCAAGCTTCAAAGAGGGTTCCCAGGGCGTCTTTACTTTCAGCCTCATGCAGTTAGGATGGCCTTCACTTATGTCCCTGCGTGACTGACTGCTGTGCTTTTTTGTGGTCTTCACACTGAGCTACATCCCCTGCCTTTTAAAAATTTTGCGACAGGGTCTTATTAAGTTGCTAAGTTGCCCAGGCTGGGGGCAAACTTGGGATCCTCCTGCCTCAGCCTCCCAGGGTGCTGAGATTACAGTCATGTACTGCCCCACCTGGCTCAGACTATTACACTTAACTGTACTGCAGCAAAAGTATTTGGGGAGCTCGGTCCAGTGGAAGTGTGGTGAAAACTTTATATGTGAAGTAATTGTTAATATATATTTTTTATATGTGAAGTAATTTTCTAATAACCACATTTAAAAAGCCAAAGAAGGGGCCAGGGATTTAGCTCAGTGGTTCCGCCACCTGCCTTGCAAGTGCAACAACCCAAGTTTAATCCCTGGTCCCCCCAATAAATAAATAAATAAATAAATAAATATAAAAAGGCAAAGAAAAACTGTTAAAATTAATCCTAATGCAGTCGCACAGCACGTAGCAATGTTTTCCATCAGCAACAGACCACACTTGTGACCTCACCAAGCGATGTCCCTGCATGGACGACATTGTCTACTCAGTGGCTTTCTCAGAATGGGTCCAGTGACACAGTGACCCAGGCTCATATTTACCAGGAGGTAGAAAAGCATCCCAGGAAATAATCAACATGGAAAGGACTGAAGGGGTTGGTTTGTGGAGATAATGTTCCCTCCTGCAAGGTCTTTGAAGTTCAGTTACACTGAGAGCACATCTCTTGGGGTGGCCACGTGTCACTGCTGGCTGCCCTTTTAGGCGGTGCATTCATCCTTTCCCACCATTTGTTTTTTAAGACAGGTTCTAACTACACAGCTCAGGCTGGCCTCAAAGTCACAGTGATCCTCCTGCCTCAGCCTCCCAAGTGCCGGGATCACAGCACACCACCTCTTACAGTACCCGAGGCAGTTCCCCTGACACAGGTTCGCCGTCACTCGCCTGGCTCCCATCCTCTCTGGGCCTTTCGCCCAGACATTCCCTGTGTTTGGCCTCTCCTGCTGCTCTAGTGTCAGCTCTCCCATCTTCATAAAGGAGCCCCCATCAGCCCCACACACGTTCGCTCGCTCTGTCCTACTCTGGACAGTGGTGAACCTTGGCGACAGCAGGCAGCTCCAGGCCTCTGGCCTGGTTGCTGCTTTTGGGATTCTGTCTCCACCGTCAGCCCAGTGGCTTCTCGGGTGATCATTCCACAGAGTTTCTGTCACCCATCTTGTCCTCCTCTAGTATAATTTTTTTTTTTTTTTGGTACCAGGGCTCAAACTTGGGTCCTTAGCTTTCGAGGCAGGCAATGGAACCACTGAGCTAAATCTCCAGCCCACTTGTCCTCCTCTAGTACACGTAGCTGTAGCACAGTGGGGGAACTGCTCTGGGTTTAGGTGATGCCATGCTTAGTTTTATTTCCTGAGTTCCCACAGTGTCCACCCAGCTGAGATGCAAGAAGAGACAGCAAGGCATAATGGGAAAGCTTGGCAGGAGGGTCCTGGGGCCCTTGAGCTGCCCCAAGAGCCTGGCTCTTCCTTACTAACAGGATGAGAATTCTTGCTTTCCGGTTAGTAGTGCTGCGAAAAACCAAATGGTCTAATGCATTTGAAAATGATTGGCAGGTTGAAAGTGCCGTCGGATGGGGGACTTGGCATCATGGCAGTTAACACTGGTATGCCTCTGTTCCGGAAATTGGCTGCTCGGCTATTCCAGAAAGTTCTGTTTAAAATCTCCCAAACTGTGCTTAGAAAAGTCAGCATTTGAAAACATGGCTCAGATGCACATAGACACTGTTAGAAGACAGGCAAGCCTTGCTTTTGATTCACTTTAACACCAGTTGAAAAGAAAGAAGTTATTATATAATTTCATATGTAAAACTATAGCTGGGCGTGGTGGCACACACCTGTAATGCCAGCACTTGAGAGGCTGAGGCAGGAGGATCACTTGGAGTTTGAGGCCAGCCTGCACTACATAGTGAGACCCTGTCTCAAAAAAAACTAAAAAGGAAAAATAAACTTTGTAAGTAAGTATATATATTCAATTTTGATAGTATTGCCAATTCAAAACACTTTTGCGTGTCAATATAGTAGAAGTTCAGAATTTGTTGCCCTGTATAATTGGTATAAGTTGCCAAATTTCCAGAATAGCCAATGAAAACATGCTTGACCCTCAGTGTGGCTAAACATTGTTGTTAACAACACCATGGGTCAGTGTCCTCCCTTTATTTTATTTTATTTATTTATTTGTTTTGAGTCAGGGTCTTGCTGTGTAGCCCGGGCTGGCCCCGAACTTGTGGTGATCCTCCTGCCTCAGCCTCTCAAGTGCTGTTATCACAGGTGTGTGGCACCACACCTGACCTACCCCCCCCCTTTTCTTTTGCTGTTTCTTTATTAGTCCAGTGTTTGCAGTTCATAATGATCGCATTCCTCATGAGGAAGTGCTTGGTGCACGGACATACATTTCAGTTTTTTTCCGTCCCCTTCCCCTCCCAACCTCCTGTTCCCTCCATGTCTTCGTTCCCTTCCCGTTTGAGAAAGCTCTCCCAACTTCCTATTATCTATCCTTTATTTTGCTCTTTATTTTTACCTTTGGTTTCCTATATGGAGAAACCATGCGATATTTAAACTCGTGTGTCTGATTTTTCTCACCCAACATCAGGGCCTCGGTGTCCACCCTTTGTAACACTGTTCACATGAAAATCCTGAGTTCACACGGCGACATTACGTGTGCCTGGCTCCTGAATGCTGTGGGGGTGGCCCAAGGTCACCGCTAAATGTGACCTTCCAGTTCCCCAGTTCTGTCCCCATACAGTGGGGGTCATGTGTGGGAAGCTCTGAGAACTGCTTCCGGCTTCACTCCACCGGCTTCACTCCACAGTGCGACGCCAGGGCAGGATAGGCAGGAGCCCCGGGGTCCCTGCAGCACCCCTACTGGCGGCTTTGTGTCCTGCAGGCCTGGTGAGCTGCACCCTGTTCCTGGCCGTGAACGGTCTCTACTCCTCTGGAGACGCCGTCATTGAGCTAACGCCGGCCAACTTCAACCGAGAGGTCATCCAGAGCGACAGTCTGTGGCTCGTGGAGTTCTATGCGCCCTGGTGAGTGTGGGGAGGCCGCGGGGTCCTATTGGACGGGTGGGTGGCTAAGGGAGGAGCATGAAGGGCGCATTCTGTGAAGCGAGAATCAGGAGCAGAGCAAACGGGGAGCAAGTGATCGCCGCGCTCTCCTGCTTGACGAGGCAGGCTGTTTGCTTTATGTGTCCTTCTGCCGTCTGTATTTTGCCGAAAAGACCCTTGTGGGCTAAAGCCATAACCGCCATGCTGCGAGATTGGGTAGTCAGGGCGCGGCGTTGCACGTGTTAAAGCTGTTAGCGCCCAGAAATCCAATAGTAGAGACAGCTCAGCGGAAACTGCAGAAGTGTGGGTGAGACTGTCACTGCCGCTGCCTGGCGGGCCACAGGGTCCCGAGAGGAGCGCGCAGCCAGCTGCGGACCAGTGAAGCTGAGTTGCTCCATGAGCTCACTCCCGGAAAAACTTTTTTTTTTTTTTTTTTTTTTTACGGTATTGGGGGGTTGAACCCAAGGCCTTTGCACTGAGTTTCATCATTGGCCCTTTTTTTACTTTTGAGACAGAGTCTCACTGAGTCATTAAATTGCCCGGACTGGGCTCAAATTTGGGATCCTCCTGCCTCAGCCTCCAGAGTGCTGGATTACAGGCATGCACCACAACGCCCAGCTACAAGTTTGGCTTTAAGTCATGGGCAGTTTACCTTTTTTCTGAGAGCTGCTGTACTAGAGAAGGTGCTCCATTCTGAAGGCATGCCCTCCCGCGGAACTGAGAAGGCGGGACCCTGGCGTGGCGGCCATGACCCCTGGGCAGCGCATGCGCGGTGTCGGCGTGAGCGCGGACTCCTGTGACCCTTGCGGGGGGGGGGGTGCCTCCGCCTATTCAGAAGTGCAGGCTGGGTGACAGAGAAGCGGAAACGTGCGGACGGGGTCTCAGGTGTTGCCTCTGCAGTGGGGTCGGCCGCCCGCCCTGAGCCGGGGGACCGGAAGCATTGGCACCCAGATGTTTCCATCAGTGACGGTCACGCCGCCCTGACCCCAAACCCCAGACTTCCGGTGTCGAGGCAGCTAAGGTGGCCAGGGCTGTCAGGCGGTGGGCGTCTCGGTGGGGACCCGTGACTGTGCCCACGCACAGGCGGTCCGGCCATCAGACCTGCTGGGCTCCAGGTGTGGCTTGGGTGGCTCTCTGGTGGGGACCCTGGTCCCGACCTGGTACCACATAAACACACTAAACCTGTCAGACAGCTGTCCCTGGGCGCGGTGTGACACCAGCTGTTTCCTAATGCTTCAGTCTCGGTTGTCGTGGGAGAGAAGGGGACAGCACCACCCTAGTCTTGGGCTCGCTGAGGAAAGCCCCCCATGAAGGTGGCCACAGTGCCACAGGCACCACATGGAGTGCCCAGGGCTCTGTTAGATGCGCCTGCATCCACCGAGGAGCAGCTTTGCTCTGCATAAATCAGCGTCGCAAGCCAGGCGGAGTGGTGCATGCCTGTGATCCAGCACACAGGAGGCAGAAAGAGAATTGCAGTGAGTTCAAGAGCAGCCTGGGCTACATAGGGAGACCCCCCTTCTCAAAAAGCCAACAAATGAAAACGGCGTAGTGGGCCAGGGATTTAGCTCAGTGGTTTCGCTGTCTGCTGCACAAGCACAAGGACCTTGAGTTAGATCCCCGGTACCAAAAAAAAAAAAAACGGCGTAGTGCAGCAGCGCAATGAGTGCCGCACCAGTGCCCTCCATGAGCCGTGGGAACGTGACAGGCTCTGAAGGCCTTCTCTGCATTGTATTTTGCAATAATTTTTTTAAAATATTGGTCCCTGCAAGACTGTTTTTTCCCTTGTGTTCTTGCCGTCTCCTCTCACACCCGGTTGCACACAGGTGTTCATTGTCATGCAGGGCCTGCAGCTTTTCACTGGGGGCTGTGTGCTTCCCGCAATGGGTTTTTGTTTTGTTTTTTGGCTGATTCAGTTCTTTATTTGCATGTGGACACACCCAATAAAAAGACACTCTTCCTGATTTACATATGGTGATGACCTAAACAAATTTTTTTTTTTTGGTACCGGAGATCGAACTCAGGACCTTGCGCTTTTGAGGCAGGTGGTGGAACCACTAAGCTAAGTCCCTGGCCCTAAGCAAAGTTTTTGCTAGGATAGTTTATAGTTGACATGGTGCCAAGTGAATTTTTTTGTTTGTTTTGTTTTTCCATTAAGTTTATTGGTACATTTTAGGTATACAATACAGTTACATTCATCAATGGGATCTTGTACCTGTACATGATGTATCTTGGTTCTTATTTTTTTCCCATTTCCCTGCCTCCCTTCACCCCCTCCACCCTTCCCTATTTAGAGACTTTGTTTCCATTTTTTTCCTTTTCTCTTATTTTTTCCATTCCCTTCTTTCCTTTCCCCTTCCCCTCCCACTTCCCCTACTCCTTTAGACCTTTTCTTCCTATTTCACCTTATCAGTTGTACATTTTGAACCTTGTTTACACTTTCAATTTCTAACACCATAGAAACGATTCAGTATTTATACACGTGTGTCCTATTTATTTCACTTGAGTATGGCCTCACGTGCATCCATTTAGCTATAAATGTCTGCAGTTTCTCATTCTTTATGGCTGAGTAGTACTCCATTTTATTAAAAAA